TAGATCTGAAACTGTACCTCGGCTTGCTTCCCTTCTCTGCCCTATTTCCCCTTTCCATGATTTCACGATCTCTTCTGCAGCCAATCACCAGTATCTTAGTCCTTGTTGCCAGGTCTGCTTCCAGGGAAACTTGAAAGAGCTTGGAACAGCTCAGGAACTAAGAGGAAGGTAGTGTTGTTGGAACTCAGACAGCAAGGAGATAGGGGAGTGAGGTGAAGCTAGAGTGATGGGCAGAGGCCTGACCACACAGAACTTTGTAGATCCCAGTGATGGGTGGAGTGGGAGTTACCTGGAGTGCCATCAGATGCCGCTGGGCTGTGTTAAGTGGGGACTAGCGTTAGTTTACACTTTGCAAAGGTCCCTCTAATGTCTGTGCCAAGGGCAGATCAAAGGGCCCAAGAGGCTGCAGGAGGACCATTGAGATACTGTTACAAATGTCCAGGGGAAAGAAGATGAAGGCTGGGATGAGGATGGGAGAATGGAAAGAGAAAGAAGTAGAGAGAGATGAGGAGGGTGGATCTGGGGGCTCTGGGGCAGTTCAAGGACAACTTGCAGGTTTCCAGCCAGGGTGCCTGGATGGATGGTACTCAGAGAAGGAGGCAGAGTTGGGAGGGTTCCACAGGCCAGATGACACCCCCTTGCCATCTCTGGTCTTGGTCAATCCCCCCATTTCACAGATGGAGATAATGAAGCCTGAGGAAGTGCAGCGGTTCACCCAGATCCCCATCATGCCCCACACCGGAGGGGATGGGATCCAGGGGTCCTGCCACCTGGCCAGAGGACTCGTTTATTCTCCAGGGGGCCCACTGGCTCTGGCCTCAGAGAGCTATTTTGCAGCTGGGAGAGGGTGGGGTTTGGGGCCTGATGGGTTTGTCCTGGGCTGAAAGCCAGTTCGCAGCTCACAGAGAACAGAACGTTGCTGTACCCGGAGGGCAGCCTGTGCTGCCAGCTGCCCTGTCTTGGTCTGATGTGGGTAACTTGAAGACCTGAGGGTGTGGGGTGCCCACCTCAGAGTTGCTCACATCTGCTGTCCTGGAGTGGGCATGCACCAGAGCTCAATCCAAATACTGTGGTTCCCCTTTTCTGGTCCTTCTTTTCCTTGCTGTGTGACCTTGGGCTAGTCACCTCTCCTCCCCAGTCTTCAGTCCTCTCATCTGTAAAATTGAAACATCCTAGAGTGTGAATTTCGTGCACTCAGAGTGGTAGAGAATATCGGATGAAGAAATGGATGGACAAAAAAAAACACAACACATTGTAAACTGTAAAGTGCCTGGACTTCTATTTGGGCTCAGTCCAACCTCTGCTTCCAGCCACAGCCCAGTGGATTTCTCAGGCTTCACAGTCTGGATTTCTCAGCCCTCCGGGGAGGAAAAGACATAATGTGGAGCTCAAGGATCCCGCGATCTTATTATCCTGGCCCAGCAGGCTTGACATACCCACTGGACAGATGGGGAAAACTGAGAGGCAGCCATCTGCTCAGAGTCACCAGACAGTTAAGCCTGAATTCAAAGGCTGGGCTCTCTGATCCAAAGATGAGAAAGATCCTTATCCATTCAGTGACCCAGTGGGACAGATGGAGTAAACTGCCAAAAAGGGGAAGCAACCTGCCTGGGGTCACGAAGACAGCCAGAAGGCAGCAGTGCGGAAGGGTCACGTGAGGTTCCTGATTCCCAGGCTGTGCTCCTTCTACCAGCCCTTGCCCACCGCCCCTGGAGCTTGCAAAGGGTCTCCCATCACACTGGGATAATCACAGTCATGTCACTGGCAGACTTGGGGCTCCTCCTTAACCCTATTTTCTTCCCACCAGAACAGGCTGCAAACTTTCTTAAGAGATCCAACAGAGAGACATTGCCCCTCCTTAGCCTCAGAACAGAATTTGGGGATTAGTAGGGAATCTTTTGGGGTGGAGGGGCATACCATGCCTCCTCCACGGGAAGATCAGGGGAAAGTCAATCAATCAGCTCTCTTTGGCTTTCAGGAGACAGCAGGGGATCCACTAACTGGGGATACTAATCAGAGAATCCACACGATTCAAAGAGCAAAAGACTCTTTGGGAATCCGTTGATGTCCTCTAGAGGAATTTCTTCCCTGATTTGTTGGATAATGAAATCAGAGGCTGGGCTGGCTTGGTGCCAGAGTATAACACTACATATCACTTAATGAGCACTTACTGGGTTCCAGGAACCTTTCTAAGGACCTTCCACGTAGTAACTCATTTAATACTCACAGCAAGCCTCTGAGGTCTGGTGATTCTCATTTTAAGGATGAGGACATCAAAGCTCAGAGAGGTGGCCTAATCTGGCCAAGGACTCACAGCTAGTGAGTTATGGAGCCTGGGCAGGAACCCAGTCCATCCATGTGACTGACCACCAAGCCACACTGCCTTGGATGCTACTGGAGACCAGAGAAAGTGCTGCCTAAAGGGCCAAGTCCCACCCAGCCAAAATCCCTGGGTACATGGAGTGTCCAGGCACAGGACTGCTGAATGGACAAAGCCCATGGCCACTGCAGAATTAGCAACCAGCCCAGCTTGTCTGAGGGTGAGTCTGAAGCATCAGTGCTGTGTTGAGTCCCAGTTCTGCCACTCGTGATGTGACACTGGGCAAGGCATCACCAAACCTCTCTGAGCCTCAGTTTCCTCCTCAGTAAAATGGGGTGAAATCAGTATCGGCTTCGTAGGATTGTTGTGAAAAATTCAACAAGGCCGGCAACGCTTTTAAAGTGCTTAGCACCAAGCCAGGCACAAAGAAAATGCAGAATAAATGTTGACTATTATTATTAATTATTTTTTAAATTTTTATTTATTTTTTAACTGTGCTGGGGTCTTTGTTGCTACATGCAGGATTTTCTCTAGTTGTGGCCCTTGGGCTTCTCATCGGGGTGGCCTCTCTTGTTGCTGAACATGGGCTCTAGGACACACGGACTTCAGCAGTTGTAGCACTAGGGCTCAGTAGTTGCAGCGTCTGGGCTCTAGAGCACAGGCTCAATAGCTGTGGGGCACCAGCTTAGCTGCTTCTTGGCATGTGGGATCTTCCCAGACCAGGGGTTGAACCTGTATCTCTTGCATTGGCTGGCAGAGTCTTATATTTCACTTCTGCACCCCCTTCTCTCCTTTGGGCTGCTGTGAATAAACAAGTTGTTGGGGTTCAGTTCGTTTTGGAGACAGAAGAATATACGAGATGGCTTTGGAGCCCCCTCCCTCCAAGGCAAGGATTCCTGGATTATCCATACCCCTCCTCAGCCCCCCTCAGCCCTAGCAGTAGCTGTAGTCTCTCAGAACTCAGTTTTCATCCTTACACCCCAGGTACCCTGGCTCCCTGCCTGTGGTCCCCACTGGCTGGATGCTGTTGCTATGGCAACAGCATTTTAAGAGCCTTCAGCCCCCCTCTGAGGCAACAGGCATGGAGGGAGATGGGCAATCAAATGCCTCCTGCATCCTCAGGCCTGTCTGGACAGAAGGCAGGAGATTGGAATGAAAGATCAGAGCTGGCTTGGGGTTGGGGTGGGGGGACCGGCGCAGGTCTCAGCTCCAAGTGTTTCCCAACAGCACCCACACTTCACTGTGTTGCCTGAGCAGTTGGTTACAAATGCAAGTTCCAGCCACCCCGCCCCAAGGGTCTGGTTTTGATTATCTGGGGTGGGATCCCCTAGGAAGCTGCCTTTGATCAGTTCTGCTTGTGGTTCTCAGGCAGAGAGGCCTCAGACCACTCTTGACGGAATCTTGAGTCCCAGAAGATGCCCGAAGACATTTTGGGCATTGAGGTTTGTGTGGCTCCCTCTACTGAGACGGCTCTTGAGAAACCCTGTTTGTTCTCCGGTCCTGCCTCTCCTCCTCCTTCTAGAGCCTCATCTTGTGGGAGGACGTGTGCCCCACCCTCATCCCAGAGCCAGGAAAATGCCAGGGCTAAGCTACCAGAGGCCACCTTGGTGAGGCGTCCTAGGACAGACAGGCGCTCGCTCTTGGGATAATGAGATTCAGGGGAGGCGCCAGCCAGGGTCACTCCGGGCAGGGTGAAAGGCTCGCTTTCTTCTGGATGCTCTGAGATCAGAGCCTCTTGGGTCTCTTCCCACTGTCTCCTTGCACCACCTGCTGGCTGGGGAAGTGGCTCCCCACCACAGCAAAACCTGATGGCTCTGGACACCAGAGGCTGTGCCTGAAGAGAGGTGGGGCTTGGGGGTGGGGAGGGTGGATGGTAGGGTCTGAGGACCTGTGCTGGGGAGGGGAAGAAGACAGAGATACAGAAGGAAGGGGTCCTCTCTGGGCTTCCTTGAACTTGAGACTGATGCTCATGTGGGTTGGATGAGCCAAGTGACAGAGACGCAGCAGACAGTCCACCTCTCTATCCCTCTTTTGTGCACTAACTGGCCTCCAGCAGGTGTTTCTCTTTGCTTGAGGCCAGAGGTGCCAGCGAATAAATTACACGCGATAATTCCCTTGACAGCACACCCTTTATTCCCTTCCCAGACTCACTGCCCCTGCTCCTTTGCCAGTAGTTCCTGGGATCAAAGCCAAAGAAATGTGCTCTCGAATCCTTACATAGGCTCTGTTTCCTTGTGGGCCCCTAAGACAAGAAACCACTCCCCAATCTCCCCAGCCTGGGTTCCATCATGAGGGCAGCTCTACCCATTGTGTTCCAAGAGGAAGCTGGCATACCCCAGAACTCCAGGTGGGTGTCTGGCCCGCCTAAGTCAGAGACCTCTGGAAAGTTCTGTACCATCAGCTCTTTGCACGACGAGGCTCTGGGGTTTGGAGCCAATGCCACGCTCCCCCATGTCCTGCCCTGCCCTGCCCTGCGCTCTCATTATTCTGAATGTGAGAGTCGGGCTCCCTGGAGCTACCTGGGGCCAGGAGCAGGCACCGGCTTCTCGTCCTCCAAGCACGGGCCAAACTCAGTAGCCACGTCCTGAGGGATCGTCCCGGGCTCCCCGTCTGTTGCTGGCTCCACCCCAACCACCCCCCATGCCTTCGGGAGCCCGGTGTGATTGACAGGAACTCCCAGCTAGAGGGATGCAGGGGGACTCGTGTGGGGCGAGTCCTCCAGAGACGTCTGTGAGCCTGTCCCCTCCGAGGAGAAGCTGTCCCCGGCAGGCCGGGGGATCTGAGTCTGCCTGGGGAGTCGCTGCCAGGAGAAGAGGGTGGTGAGGAAACGCTCAGGAGTGGGGTCCAGGGGCCCATGGGGGCTTCTGCCTTCATCAGCCTCGACAGCCTGGCCAGCTTCCTGGGTGGGAGGGGCTGCTTGGAAATTTCTGTTCTGTCCGCGCCTGGGGCCCCAAGGAGGCCAGCGGGATTTGGGCGAACGATCTGAACCCAGCGAGTCCTGGAGGGGCAGGTCCCATCTGCCCTTGGAAGTGACTTCCCCATTCAGGCCCTGGTCCTTGGCGGCCACCCCCCTGAGTTCCAGGCACGTGGGGTGAGCCGGGGAACCAGCCGGGCACGGGCAGTGGGCCAGCGCCTTCTTCAGGAGCATCTGGATGTCCTCGTGTCTCGCCTGGGCCTCCTCCCACAGGTCGCGGCCCAGGCCCTCCCGGCTCAGCGAGGCCACCTGCAGCCCCATGGCTGTGAGCTTCTCAGCAGGAAACTCGGACGCCAGGCGCTGCAGGTAGCGGTGGAGACGGCGCTGGTCCCCAGGGCTGGTCCTCTGGGCCTTGCCCAGCCTCAGCTGGGCCATCAGGTCCTGACAGTCCATGTGGAACCAGGTCACCTGGGAGACAAGAAAAGAGGGAGGTGGGGGCTCCGTGAAGATAGGGATGTACCCCCTCTGAGCAGAGAGGAGGCTTCAAGAATGAATCTATCTAGAGAGCATTAATAAAAATGCCCAATCCATGTTAGCCACCCCGACCCCGCACCCCTGCCGGCATGGCTGTGGTTCTCTCTGCTACTGATGATGACAATATTCCTCTCTCTTCCCCAGGGACCCACCAGAAACAATCCCCAGCACCCTTGAGATCTTCAGGCGCGGTCTTCCAGACTCAGGGACCAGCAAGGACTCACCCTTGTCTAGGGCTCAGATTCCCCCTCTGTAAAGTGGAGGTTGTGGCAGATAATCATGAAAATTGGGGAGCTGAAAAATGTGGATTCTCAGACAGTATGAACCCCTTATAAGTGGTGCTGAGGGAGGAGACTGGCTCATACTGATTGAACCACCAACTGTCTGCCAACCCTCTGTGCGTCTCATGTAGGATCTCACTGAACCAGTGGCCCATTTTACAGAGGAGGAAACTGAGGTTCACAGATGTGAAGTCACTTGCCTCGGGTCAGGGAGAAGCTGGGATTTGAACTCAACTGTCCTGCCTCAAGAGGGTATCTTGCAAGCACCTCCTTGCGCAGGAGAAACCAGCCCAGGCGGGACCACACCCTTGCAGTTCCACTGGGGGACTGTCAGCCAGACCTGGCCTGGAGGCCCCCTCACTCCGGTCAGGTCTCTGATCGCTTTGGGGATCTTGCCTGTCCCCATGTCACCCACAAAATGTATGCAGGCCTCAAAGGAGCCAACACATTTCCAGCAGCTCGTGAAAAACATAATCTTTCTCTCCATTAATTTAGAAGCCGACAGCAAGTCGTTAGGCAGTGGGGACTGGAGAACCATTTTCTCTGAGGAAACCATCCTTCCGCGGATTAAAGGAACTTGTCTGTAGATAAATGGCTTCATATTCGCGGAAGCACACTGAGCTCATGGCTGGGAAAAGGCTCCATAAATCTCCCTTAGCGGTACAATCGTGTTATTATTATTTAGTGCCAAAGCTGCTGCCCGCACGCTCTACATCTGGGACTGAGCCCAGCACCGAGCCATCCGGCTGTCTGTCTGTCTGGGACCAGATATTCCAGGCCAAGCCAGACAGGGGTGGACAGCACCTCAGAAACCATCTTGCCCCATTTTGCTTATTGTGCGCATTAAAATTCAAAGCCAGAGAGGAGAACGGGGCCTACCCAGGCTGAACACCGAGACACAGGCCAGGTGGGAATGAAGGTTAAGGCCATCCCCTCCTGTCTTGTATGGCCTCCGACAGACTCAGGCCTCCTGCACGCCCCCCCAGCCCTCCTCCCTCCACCAGACGCCTCCCTCTTCCTCCATTCACGTGACCGATTACTGAGCCTCCTCTGGGTGCTGACCCTGCCCTGGGCACCCTGATAGAACCAGGACCCAGTCGGACCCGGTCCCTGCTGGGGGAGCCCAGCTCACCGTGACAGATAAGGGAGAGGCAAGCAGGTGATGGAGCCACAGGATAAGCTCAGATTACAAAGAGCACCATGAAGTCATCAGCACAGGGTGATGAGGGAGAATGGGGAAGGTGGGGAAGGGGTTGGGGGCTCAGGCAGGGCCTCTGTGAGGAAGGGACATATGAGCTGAGAGTTACTAGAGGAAAAGTTTTCCAGCCTGAGAGAACAGCCAGTGCAAAGGCCTCAGTGCTGGAGCTAGTCTGCTTTCTCCAGAGAAGGTTGATGGGGCTGAAACTGGCTAAATTTAATAAACAAGGGAGAGAAGCTTCCAGATACCCTTAGCCCACAAGGCATTACCCCTCTTCCTCCTGTTGCCCCAACTCTGCAACAGAGAGGTGGGACGAGATCAAGGTTCTCAGCCTGGTTCTCACCCCATGAAGTTGCCTGCAAAGGTCTACATATGGAGGGAAAGTCTATGACTTTGATCAGATTTTCAGAAATCCCCAGGCTCCAAAAAGCAATGACAAACCTCGACAGCATATTAAAAAGCAGAGACACCACTTTGCCAACAAAGGTCTATATAGTCAAAGCTATGGTTTTTCCAGTAGTCATGTATGGATGTGAGAGTTGGACCATAAAGAAGGCTAACGCTGAAGAATTGATGCTTTTGAACTGTGGTGCTGGAGAAAACTCTTGAGAGTCCCTTGGATAGTAAGGAAATCAAACCAATCAATCCAAAAGGAAATCAACCCCGAATATTCATTGGGAGGACTGATGCTGAAGCTGAAGCTCCAATACTTTGACCACCTGATGCAAAGACCTGACTGACTGGAAAAGACCCTGATGATGAGAAAGACTGAGGGCAGGAGGACAAGGGGGTGTAGAGGATGAGATGGTTGGATGGCATCACCAACTCGATGGACATGAGTTTGAGCAAGCTCTGGGAGATGGTGAAGGACAGAGAAGCCTGGCGTGCCGCAGTCCATGGGGTCGCAAAGAGTGGGACACGACTGAGTGACTGAACGACAACAACCTGGCCCTAAACCCATCACTTAAGAATCAGATGTTTTCCGAGGGTCCTTTGAGAGTTCGTGTCCCTGGGAGGCTCCTGTGTAGTGGGACAAACTGGGTTCAGAGATCAGTTGCACCTGGTTTAGGAGAGTAACTTCATCTTGCAAACCTTGTTTCCCTTTCAGAAAATGCAGTTAATTCTCTTTCCTCCTCATGGGACTATGGAATGAAGAGAGCCTAGAGCTGTGTCTGGCCGACTCCCTGCCCCCACCCTTCCTCCCAGGAGTTGGGGAGCAGGGGTGGGAAATCTACGCTGGAAGGCTCACCTTCTTGCAGAAGTGGTGCAGATGGAGCAGCGTCTCCAGGTCTGTGCGTTGCCGCTCAGCCGCCATGTAGAAGTGGGTCAGCTTTGCCTGGAAGGCCCGCTGGGTGAAGGCAAAGGCTGCCAGCTCCGGGAGCTCGGTCCCTCCTGCCTCCCCAGCCCTGGCGGCCGCTGCCAGCTGGGCCGCCTGCTTGCACAGCTCCAGGCCTTGGCGGTACTGGGCCTGAGCGGGGAGGGGAGGGTGTCCACTCAGCTTCAGCCTCTCTACAAAGATGCGAGACTTCCTGAGCCTCAGTTTCCTCATCTATAAAATGGGAACCCGGGGTTCACTTTGCCCACTGGGACTCTGCTAAGTGTCACCTTCTTCTGGAGAAATTCCCTGACCCCAGAGTCTGCGTTAGAAGCTTCTCATCTGTGTCACCAGTGTTCCCTTTCTGACTTTCTGACTATTTCTCTGTTGCCCCCTCCAACCTAGCCTCAAACAAACAAAAAAAAAAACTGGCCTGAAAGTTCCCTGAGGGCTAAAACAGGGGCTGAATTGCCCTGGGCCCCAGGGCTCAGCACATCGAGGAGGCAGACTCCCCCCGCCTCCCAGACTGATTCAGTAGGGCTAGAGTAGGACTCTGGAATCTGTATTTTAAGAAATCCATCAGGGATTCTGAGACTGGTCATCTTTGGACTTGGTAGTCAGGGAAGGCTTCCTGGAGGAGACAATATCTAAGCCAAACCCTTTGTGATGCAAGCTTCCCTAACTGTCTCGAGCAACTTTCTAGCACTTTCCCACCTCCGCACGTTTTCCCAGCAATGCCACCCCCACCCTGCTCTGGTCCTCTCCATCTGCTCCCATCCTGTCCCTCAGTCTCAGGAACGCACCACAGCCTGAAGGAAGAAGTCCTCGAACTCTGCATGGGCTTTCTCCACTGTCTCCAAGCTTCCGTCCTTGGGGGTCAGCACTTGCAGGCACCGGCTTCCCTCCTGCTCCATCCAGTGGCTGACCTGGAGCAGGGAGGGAGGTTTGGACGTGATGGACTGCTGAGGAGATATCCCTTGGCCAGCTTCCTGCTTTCCTGAGAGGCTGAGGTCTTGTCCTCAGTCATTTGGGGGCCCACTGGCCTGGCCTGAAACCCCACCCCCCCCCAATTCTGGAGACATGAAGATTCAATGAGGGACTGATGGGGTAAAATGACTCTCGATCCCACGAGTCCTCTTTGTATTCTGGGGTGTCTTAAAGGGCACATACTCACCCACTTTATCCTCACAAAGCCCCATGCGGCCACTAATTTTATCCCCCATTTAACAGATGAGGAAGCCTAGGCACTGAATAGTTAAGTACTTTTCTAGATCACACTACTAGTAAGTGCTGGAGCCAGTACTGGATCCAGGCCGTCTGCCTCCGGGCACCCTGTGCTCCACAACCCCGAGCATGCAGGGATGTGGTGGTTCTAGGCCCCGGCAGTTGGACAGGATGGTGCCCGGTGTGGGCCCCAGGATCAGACCCCCTGGTGTGCGACAAGGGCAGGTGACATAACGTCTCCCAGGCTCCGTTTCCTCATCAGTGAGTAGGCGAAATCCTAACGTCTTCCCTGTGTCACTAGTAAGGGATGAGGTTGAAAAGTGGTGATGGTCGCAAAGGCTCGGGCCCAGGGCTTGGGACAAAGTTGGTGTTTAAGAAATGCAGCTTCTGGGGGGCTCCCCTGGTGGCTCAGCGGTAAAGAACCCGCCTGTGCTTTAGAGCCCAGGAGCTGCAACTACTGAGCCCGCAAGCCTAGAGCCAGCAAGTGACGCCGCCGTTGTGAGATGCCTGTGCATCATAATTAGAGAGTAGCTCCCGCTCGCTGCAACTAGAGAAAAACCCGTGCAGCAATGAAGACCTAGCACAGCCAGAAATAAATAAATACACAAAATTATGTGTCATGCCCTCAGTCACCAGTCCCACTTACGGAGTGCATGTCGTGTGCTCCAAGAACCCCCACCTGGCTCTCCAAGAAGTGTCAACCTGGTACCTTTATACCAGAGCAAAGCACCTGGCTGGGGCGGGGCCTGGAGCAGCAGAAGCCCCACCTCCACCCTCAGGTCCCTGGGCCCGCCCCCTTCCCCTCTCTCACCTGGCGGATGGCAGCTTCCAGGCGGCCCAGACGGACACGGAGCTCCAGCCTTCTCAGGAGGTGGTTGGACACAGTGACCAGGATGTGCAGCTGCTCATCCACAAGGCTGTACAGGGCGGTGGCTTCGGCCAGATGGCTCCTGGGAGGCCACGGAGGGTGAGAGAAAACCCAGGAGGTCGATCCCTTGCACCCCACCCCCTGCACTCCTGCCCAGCATAGGCCTGCCTCCCTAACTTCCTCCAGCTCTGTGGCCCCGGTCCGGGTGCTTCAGCTGCTGATTTGTTGTGTGACCTTGGGCAGGTCCCCACACCTCTCTGGGCCTCAGCCTCAGCCTTCCGTGGGACGGGGAGGACCAGAGCAACAGCAGGAAACCAAATGACCCTCTCTTTCCCTAGGAAGGTAGGACAGATCTGGGTAGGAGCTGGACAGATCTGGGTTCACACCCCAGGCCTGCTACCTTCTAGTAAGAGGAGCTTATGCAAATTCCTCAGCCCTTCTGTGTCTCGGTTTCTTCAGCTAAACCAAGTAGGGATAACAGAACCCACTTCACAAGGTGGTTGCACCCTCCTCTGCCCTAGCGATCCTTTAGAAGGAAAAGGCAAAAGAGAGGGAAGGAGAGTCCATTTTCCTGGAGGGAGCCTCATCTGACCGCAGCTTCCCATGGGTCACTGCCCTTCCAGGGAATGGGTGAGCACCCAGGGTGAGTGAACAGGATGGAAAATGCCAGGCTGTCTGGCAAAGGGAGGGAGGAAGTCCGGGGCAGGCAGGCGCTGTGGAACCACCACGCAGAGTGGCTCACGTGGGATCACAGCGCCCCCTGGTGGAGCTGCTGCTGGCCAGCAGTCTGGAGGGGCCTATGGAGAACCAACGGGGCCCCAGAGCCCGACTAGTGAGGCAGGGGCGTGCTGGGAAAGGCAGTGCCAGCCCCGCCAGGCCATGTGAGGGGCAGGGAGATGACTCCACCTCCAGGACTAGGGTCCACTGCTGCCCAGCGCTCTTATCTGCATGAATCTGTCTTTGGGCACAGCTCAGGGTGGTGTGCTCAAGATTCTGGGCCAGGTTGCCTGGGTTCAAGTCCTAGCTGTGTGACCTTGGGCAAGTCACTTTTCCCCTCTCTCAGCTTCAGGCTCTTCCACTGTAAAATGAGGACGGTACTAGGATCCACTTTATGGGTGGGAATTAAACACGCTAACATTCTTGAGGCCCTTAGAACAATGCTGCGTTCATACTAAGTGCTACTTGGGTTTGGTTAAATGAACAAAACGTTCTTGGAAGCACATGCAAACTTTGTAATTGTGCTTGTTCTAACAGAGATAAAATTTTTACAATTATTGGCTGATTTAATTACTGATTTGCCCCCCATCCCTAAATTTAAGAAAATTGGTACTTTCTAGGAATGTGCACTGTTTGCTCTGTGGTTCTGAGACCTTAACACACTATGAAGTTCTCTCAGGCCCCTGCCAGAGAAGGCAGGGCAGTTCGGGGGTTAGTGCTCACGTGGCCTGGCTCTTAGTTCCCTTCAGCCTCAGCATCCATCAGCCAAATAGGAGGATGCAGGCCTCATGTAATCTTATGAGGAATAAGAGACAAGCTCTTGAAGGCACTCATCCCAGGGTTTAGGTCAGAGATAGTGCTTGGTTGGTCACGGAAGTGGGGGAGCCTGTCCTCCAATGCCTGGGCTTAGGAGGGCTGCAGAGGAGGAACTTGCCAAGGTACAAGCCTCAGCTCAGGATATGGGCACCGCAAACACACCATCCTGGACCTCCTCAGAGCCCACCCTCTGCGTCCCCTCAGCAAAGTGGCCCCAGCTCTGAGTCCCAGCCCAGGGACAGGATGGGGTAGGGGAGGAAAAGCCTGGTGCCCGCACCTGACATCCGGGTTGAAGTTCAGCCTGCTGCCCTCCTGTCGCAGCCTGGCCAGAGTGGCTCCGCCTTCCCGCTGGAGGCCCATCAGGCCTGGGTCCCTCAGCACGGCCTCCATCAGCTCCTTGGACTTGCTCAGACACCTGGAGGCCTCCTGCCAGGGTAGGGAAGTGGCCTGAGGCTCAGTTCCCACTCTCCTTCTATAACCTTCCAGGGCTCCCCACACCCTGATCCTGCCTGACTTCCCCAGTTTGGCATTCAAGGTCTTATAGAAAGTCCATCCTTTCTATCTCTAAAACATCTCCGCAAGCCAAGCTTCCTCTCATCACCATGGCAACCTCACTGGTCAAAGCACTTTCATGTCTCAGTGGGACATGAGCCCATCCCAGGGATCTGCTGATTTCCCCACAGCACCCTGGCTCCCCCTGCAGTCTGCTCTCTGTATGGCAACCAGATAGATCTCAAAGGGCCCATATGATCATCCCACTGCTACTTAGAATTCTCTAGCAGCTGCCCTTCCCCTTTAGAATCAAATCCCAACCCAGCTTCTCCCTGATAGAGCTGTGAGCCCAGAAGATCTCCTCCTTTTCCTTTACTTTGTTTCACACTGGCCTCCTTGCTCAAATATACCAAGCACAGCCCCGCCTCAGGGCCTTTGAAGTGATTGCCTTCCACCTGGAGCACAGTCCCCTTCCTGTTCCCAGGGCTCCATCTCCTCCTTCAAAGCTCAGCTTCAATACCCTCCTTCCCCATTATTCTCAATCTTACTTTCACAGCCTTTAGCATCACTTGTAGTGATATGTCCATTTCTGTTTACTTTTTTTTTTTAACGATGACCTCTCACACTGTACCATGAGCCCCATGAAGGCAGGGACAAGTCGATCTGCCCAGGCTGGGTCTCCAGGATGTGACACATAGTAACTATCCAATAAAGATCAGCTGAATGAATGAATGAAAACAAAGCTCCTGCACTGAGCCCTTGGTCCTTGGAATTGGGGGTGTGTTGTGGTTTTCCCACCTCCGACTCCTGGCTCACCTGCACCCCTCCAGGGGGCTCACCCTTCTCGAACTCCCTGATGGAAGCCTTTAGCAGGCAGGAGGCCTGGCGAAGGTCTGCAAGGAAAGGATCCAGCTTCTGCAGGAGAGGAGGCCCAGAGTGGGGGTGTCAGCCTGCGAAGAGGGGGCCACTCCCCTCCACCCACCAGGAAGACACGCAGGCTGGTGGTTCTCAAACATTAGCTGCATCAGAATCGCCTGGAGAGCCAGTTAAAATCCAGGCTGCAGGACTTCCCTGGTGGGCCAGTGGTTAAGACTTTGCCTTCCAATGCAGGGGATGCAGGTCTGTCTGATCCTTGGTTGGGGAGCTAAGATCACACATGCCTCTTGGCCAAAAAACCAAAATGTAAAATAGAAGAAATACTGTAACAAATTCAACAAATAATTTTAAAATGGTCCACATCAAGAGAATCATTAAAAAAAAAAACCAAAAACCCAGGCCGTTGAGCCCTCCTCCCGAGTTTCTGGCTTAGTTTCTCTGGGGTGGTCATGAGACCATGCATTGCTAACAGGTTCCCAGGTGATACTGATGCTGCTGGTCCAGGGACCACAGTTTGAGAACTACTCATGCTGGAAATGAGAGGGGAAAAGAGAGGACAGGTCTGACCTACTCCCAGGCCACTGGGGATATGGTGGGGGAGGGAATGGTAGGAGGGGCGAGATGGCAGGGTCCCACTTCAGCCTGGCTTTACCACTTACTAGCTGTGAGGCCTTGGGCAAGTTTCTTAACCTCTCTTCCTTCCTCTGCCTCCACTTCCTCTATAAAATGGGAGCACAGTAGTTCCTGCCTTAGAAGCTTGTGGCTTTATTTGTGCCAGGCACTTAGAATAGCATCCTTAATCATCTTCATTATCAGCTTTATGAAAGAGAAGATGTTAATCACTCAGTCGTGTACAACTCTTTGTGACCCCATGGACTGTAGCCCACCAGGCTCCTCTCTCTTTGGGATTCTCCAGGCAAGAATACTGAAGTGGGCTGCCATTCCCTTCTCCAGGGGATCTTCCTGACCCAGGGATTGAACCCAGGTCTCCTGAATTGCAGGCAGATTCTTTCCCATCTGAGCGACCAGGGAAGCCTCTATAGGCTGGGTCTATAGGTAAGATTCTATTTAAAGGGAAGGCATTAAAGCAAAAATATAGTTTAAAAGCCCCTGGAGGAACTGGAGATCTCTGGAGAAGGGAATTGGGGGCCTGTGGGACAAGTAGGGTAAGAGATTTTTCCGTTAATACCCTTCTGTACTAATTGGATTTTGAACGTATGGTCTGTTTGAAAATAGACCCAATTAAAAAAAAGAGCGCAGGCCAAAAGCAAATAAGCAAACAGCCACGTGAGACTAGAGACCGGTGGTTCTCAGTGGGGATGGTCTCCCATGCCAGGGGACACCTGGCGATGTCTGGAGACATATTTGGTTGTCATCATTTGGAGAATGATATTGTCAGAGTGGGTAGGGTCCAGGGATGGTACTAGTCATGTGACAGTGCACAAACAGCTCACCCCCAAAATGAATCATCCAGCTGCAAATAGAAATAGTGCTGAAGCTGCCCTGGTCTGGAGAAAGCCCAGGGCCGGCTTTCTGCACTGGTCCTCGAGTGGTTATAAGCACCGGTGTGCTGCTGCAGAAGTCGTGCCCATCCTGTGCGCCCTCATGTGCTAAGCCAGGCATGAGATGCCCCCTCGCAGGGTTGGGGTGGGGAGGGACTGAGGTCACATCGGAAAGGAGCAGACCCCTGGCTGTTTCCTTACTTCCTCTCTCTTACAGGAGGGAGCACGCCTGCCTCCCCCACCAGACCCTCACCTCCCCGAGATTTGTGCGTCCACAAAGCAGATGTCTGTAAATGTGTTTGCAGGAAACACTCACATCACACTTAGCATGTGTCAGGCACTCTTTCTTCTAAGCTCTTTATCCACCTTAACTCAAGTCTCACATTAGCCCCCAGAGGAGGTACTTTTCTTAACCCCCATTCTGTCATAGAGCAAAAGTGCTCAGAGAAGTATATAACTTCCCAAGTTCACACAGCAGGGCTGGGCTTGGGAGCCAGGCCGTCTGGCCCCAGAGCCTGAGTTCTTCATCACTCCACTCTGCACCCTCATTATCAGTGTTCGTTGAATGACTGTTTTTGAACCAGATAAGCTCAGGTGGATCCATGGAACAGGATAGAGAACGGAGAAAGAGAAGGGATGAGGGTGTGGGGTGAGGGCTGTGATGATAGACACCTGGAAGAATTGCACCCACTCGCCATGACAGTAGGGGAAAGGGCCTTCCAGGGCTGTAGGGAGCTGGCTGGGGTCCACGTGGTGGCTCAGTGCCTTCAGTGAGGTCAGCACCTCTACCTGCAGACCAAAAACAAAAAAGTCATTCTGACCAGGTAACTCAATGTAGAGACCAATGTCTGACAAGGTCCTGTCCAGATCCATGTCCCAGCATTTCTCCACCTCCCATGGGTAAGGCTGTCCCTGGCTTTAAGAGTTGCTTTCTGGGCAAAGAATTTTCTATGGAAACTCTGATCAATAAAAATTGAGAGCCAGACCCTGGCTATTATTTGCTCATACTGCCACTCTCCTAGCCTGTGATCAAGGCAGACATCATTAATCAATCATGGCACTCCATCCCTCTGAGCTGGGCTCTTTCCAGCACAGTTGTCCAGGCAATCACACAAACCGATTAAAGCTGGCCCTTGTCATGCAACTTCTCTGCAATCCTTGTACCATTTTCTGGAGACCCATGAAGATGTTCTTGGGGATGTTGAGAAAGGTCACCAAATCCTAACGGTACCCACAAAGACGCAGAGCAGGGACTAGGTGACTGCTTCTCCTAGGTCGTGAAGCTTGAAGCTTATGGTACAGACAGCTCCAGATACCTAAGCTTGGGGTGGGGAGACTTCTGTGGGGTTCTGGAGCCCATTTTTCATCCCTGGTTTTTCAAGTGTGCTCCACGGACCAGCAGCCCCAACAGCACTTTAGGAACATGCTAGAATGCAGAATCCCAGGCCCAACCCAGAACCACTTAATCAGTACTTTGGTGATTCTCCAAGAAATTTGTAGGCACCCCTGATGGCTGAGTGGTAAAGAATCTGCCTGCCAATGTAGGGCACACAGGTTCGATCCCTGGGTCGGAAAGATCCTCTGGAGGAGGAAACGGCAACTCACTCCAGTATTCTTGTCTGGAGAATTCCATGGATAGAGGAGCCTGACAGGCTACAGTCCATGGGGTCGCAAAGAATCAGATGCAACTGAGCACGCCTGCACACCATGGGGGCTGGGCAGGAGACTCGTAGCATCCAGGCCTCATATCTAATTGACCGGCACTCTGTTATTCCAGGGCCACCATTCTTCACCCCAGCTCAGCTGAAGCCCAACTCCTCTGCACCTCAACCGATGCTGCCTGCCCCTTACCTGGATGTCAGGTAATGCCTCCAGCTGGAGAGCTGCCTCCTTCTCCCCCAGGAAGAGCATGGCACGGATGGAGGCTGGGACCAGCGCCTGTCAGAAAGAACCATTTCAGAGCTGATCTGCCTAGGCCCTCACCGAGCCTCCCCTCTAAGATGTAGGCAAATGGGCCATGAGGACAGGGGTAAGAGTTCCCCATGGCTGGGATCCACATGGAAGGGAGGGCTGGGATCCTTATTTGGAGGATGAGTCAAATGATTCATTGGGAGTCATTGGAAGTCAGAGAACAGCAGCTTCAAGCTGGGTTGCAAACTTTCTGGGTGCCCTGCCCTCTCTGGGTCTCAGTTTCCCCATCCGTAAAGGGAGAAGTAGGAGGAGATGGGGTGGAGGTCAGACCACAAGGTGAGCTTATCCCAAACTTCCATTTATGCTGCTGCCTGTACTGGTGAGTCATGAATCTCTTCCCTGCCCAGATCTCAGTTGGTGAGGTTTATGTGAGTTAAACCTAAGCCAATCAGCATGTCACAGCCCCCTGACCACAGATGTTGGCTGATGGATGGATACCTGAGCCAACGGGGACAAAGAAGACCCTCAAAAAAGCTTTTACTGGGACTTCTGGGAAAAGAATTGCTCTTTTCTATTGGACTTAAATGACAGACCATATGAAATTAGAGATGGTGGGGACCACACTGCCACAAAGAGTGGGACCTGACTGATAATGGCACTCTCCCAGAGGAATGGAGCCAGAAATGGGGAGAGAAACCAGATCCTGGTGACAATATTTGAGCCCCCAAATCAAGTCATACTTGAAGCTGGATTTAATTTCCAGACTGAGTCACATCAACCGATGAATGACCTTTGTCTTTAAGCATGTTTGGGTTGGGGTTTCTTTTGCTGCACGGCATGTGGGATCTTAGGTCTGCAAACAGGAAACAAACGCAAGCTCCCTGCAGTGGAAGTACAGAGTCTTACCCACTGGACCGCCAGGGAAATCCCCTAGGCTGGGGTTTCTATTATCTGCAACTAAGGTTCCCTGCCTGGGGTTCCGGTCCTAGCTCTGAGAACCCCCAAGATCTGTGAATATCCAAAGGCCTCCAGTGCTTCTAAGACTTGGTAGGCTGAGGCTGTCCACTTCCACTCACCTGGGTGGCCTGCAGGGCTCTGACGAGACCAGGATGTGGGGGCTGTTTCCTAGCATCAATCACAACTGCCAGCCCCTTAGTTTTATCTTCAGGCCTGTGGGTGGTAAACAGAATTGGCAGTCTTATTGGATGAATCAGGGCCCTCGAAGGGGAACGACCCAGTGGAAGGTGAGGGAAGCTGGCTGCTAGAAGCCTGGATACTACTGAACTCTTCATCCTGCAAGACAAATTTCCAGCGCCTCCCCAAGCCCTCAACACACACCACTTCCAGGGAGCCCTCCATGATTCTTCTCCAGGCAGAGTTTATTGCTCCCTCTTGAGGGCTCCTACAGTACCTCATACAGCCCTCTCAGACACCCTAACAATCATAAACTATATGCTACTATCCCAGTTGCAGTAGGTGAGTCACCCAACCTTCATTCACCCCTTTTGTTGGGGCAGAAGGCTCATTTTGTTCAAGAACCTAACTTTCTTCTTATAACCACATCCCTTCCTCCCCCAGGGGCTGGATTCTGATTGGTTGAAGCCAACAGCTGACCCAATTCCCCTGGCCAATGATCAATTTAGATAGGGACCATGTGACATTTTCTGGCCAATGAGATGTGAGGAGATGTTTGTGGGGGACTTCTGGGAAAGGCGTTTTCTCCATTATAATGTTCTTACAAAGAGATATAAGGCAGAGACAAAGACTGATACATTTACTTATCAGATCAGACTTTTTGAATTAGAGTTTGTTACTTGTAGCCCAAACACCCTCACCAGTTCACAGTGCACTTTTCAGTGATTACCTTGGGATTTTTCAAACAGGCCCAATTGTCAGAACTTGTTAAAATAACGATGCTTCACTTCCACCCCTCCTCTGTCCCCCAAGAAATGTGTCCAGTGGGTAGGGAGTGGAGCCGGGCAGTCGGTGGTTCCAAGTACCCTGGCCATTCAATCAGACTGGGAAAGTAACCCCCGACTGCCTTCAAGTCTTAAAACCACCCAAGTCACAGACCAAAGCCAGGGGTGGCCAGTGTGGGATGTGGAGCTGTGGCAGTCATCTGGGCACGTTGTTTCACCTCTCTGGGAGTCAATTTCCCAGCTGTAAATGGGGCTAATGATAGTATAGGCTTCCGGGGGCTGTGGTGAGGACTGATGGATTCATTCCGGTAAAATACTAAGGGACCATGCAGAAAAACAGGAATGTCAATGTCTGCTGTTATCACAGTCCTGAGAGAGGAAACTGAGGTGCTGGGCAGTGACAGAGCACACAGTGAGGGCAGGCTCTCAGAGATGAGGCCAGGGCTCTGACTTCATGTCCTCACCTGTTTCTGGCTATGCCCATACTGGGAGGGAGGTTCATTTCCACACCTGCCTCCACTGCCAGCCTGAACACCCATAGAGGTCAAGGCCCACTATAGGAGGATAGGGGTCCCCAGCATGGCCCAGCATGAAGCCTGGCTCAGGGCAGGTGCCCAGCATTGGAGGTTCACAACAGGAGTGGAGAGGCAAGCCCAGCATATGAGAACCCCATGCCCAGTTCTAAAGGAAATCCCCAGGTGCAATCCTAAAGGAAATCAGTCCTGAATATTCACTAGAAGCACTGATGCTGAAGCTGAAGCTCCAGTGCTCTGGCCACCTGATGCGAAGAGCCAACTCATTAGAAAAGACCTTGATACTGGGAAAGGTTGAAGGCAGGAGAAGGGGATGACAGAGGATGAGATGGTTGGATGGCATCACCAACTCAATGGACATGAATTTGAGCAAATTCCGGGAGATGGTGAAGGACAGGGAAGCCCAGTGTGCTGCAGTCCATGGGGTCGACAAGAGTCGGACACGACTGAGCGACTGAAAAACAAATGCGCAATTCACACTGCATCTCACTTCCCTTTTTGTGATCATGCTTGATCCTCACAGCCCACTTGGTCATCTCCCTTTTTCACGGGGCATTTCAGAGAGGGAAAGTTACCACTCCCAGGTCCCACAGCAGGTTGGTGGGGGTTGGGGGTGGTTTCCATCTCCCCTTCAGACCGGGAAAACCACTCCTCTTTGGACAAAGGGTAGAAAAATCTCAGTGGCCAGCAGGTGGCAATGTTGGCTCCCATGGGGTGGAGTTGGAGGTGGAGGTTCCAAAGGGTCCCACGAGTCCCTCCCCAACCCACTCCAGCCTGGGCGCTGCAACTTGGAGGAAAGATGGTGTCTCTTCCCCAGGCAGTCCAACCTGAAGTCTTATGGGAGGTGGAGGGAAGGAGTGGTGGTAAAAATAAGCCTGGTCACTCATCACTCACTCATTCTTTTGCTCTCTCACTTATTCATTCCTTCACCCATTCACCCTTTCCTTCATTTGTTCAACAAATATTTATAATCCAGATCAGTTCAGTTCAGTCTCTCAGTCGTGTCTGACTTTGTGACCCCCATGGACTGCAGCATGCCAGGCTTCCCTGTCCATCACCAATTCAATCATCACCTCCTCAGGGAAGCCTTCCCTAATTTCCCAATTGAAACTAACTGCCTCTCGCCCTTCATTTTACAATGGAGGCTCTCAAAATGTGTTTGCAGCCCACCCACATCAGTATTACCAGGAAACTTGTTAGAAATACACATTGTCAGGTCTTATGCAGACCTACTGAACCAGAAACTCTGGAGGTGGGGCCCAACCATCTGTTTTAACAGCCCTCCAGATGGTTCTGATGCCTTTTGAGTTTGAGAGCCACTGATCTACGATATCCTTGTTTTCTTCACCACACTAACACTCCTGAGAGCTGCTGGTCCATGGCTGGTTCCTTGCATACCATCCATCTCCCCCGCCAGCCTGGGAACACCCCATTGGCAGGGACTATCCTGTTTTTTCGGTCTGTCCTGCTTTTTGCCCAGCATGTGGCTCAGGACCAAGAGGATGTGATGTCTCTTCATATGGTACCTGGTGCTGGGCTCCGGGCTGAGAGGCCGAGGGGCCATAGGGTGGTCAGGCTGGCCCAGCCCCTTACCTGGGGATGGTGCACAGGTAAGAAAACAGCTTGGTGACCTCCGAGGCAGTGCACCATGGCGCCTCCCAGGGGCCCTTGGTGGTTGACACCAGAAGCAGGGGCCGCCCCGCCCTGTCCCGACCGCCTGGAAGAGAAAGCACACTCATGAGCAGTGAGCACTTTGGTGGAGCCCCTTCTATAGGAACCTGCTCTGTGGCCTCTAGGCTTTGCCTGTACTGGTCCCTCTGTCTGGAATGCCCTTTCTCTTCTCCATCTGAACTCCTATTCATCCCTCAAGACCCAGTACAAAAGCTACTTTTTCAGAAAAGTCATCCCCAAAACCATCCTCCATGTGGAGACAGCCTCACCCTCCTCTGGGCACCCCTTGCCCTGGGCACCTTGGGCAGAATAGAGCTCACGGCATGAGCTTTGGGGTTCACACGGACAGGAATTGAAGTCCCAGGTCTGCACTGACTTGTTCTGTGTCCTTAGACAAGTCAGTGTGTCTCTGAGCCTCAGTTTCCTCATCTGTTAAATGGGGAGAATACAATACTGAGCAGATTAGGTTATTTCAAAGACTAAATGAAACAGCTCCTGAGAAGCATTTAACATGTGGCAAGGGCCTCATAAACAGCAGTTGTGGTAACAGCCATTATCTCTGTCCTCATCTCAGCCCCCATGTGGTGAGTGTGCATTCCACAGCTGACAGCTCACTATTTATTCTTTTTTTTTTTTTTTGTGGCCATACCACGCAGCATGCGGGATCTTCCCTGACCAGGGATTGAACCCGTGCCCCCTGCACTGCAGAGTTTGGACCACAAGGGAAGTCCCACTATTTATTCTTGCAGACGTCTAACCATGAGTTCTTCACGGACTATTTCCTGTTCCAGGAATCCAGACAGTGTGCCCCACACCCCCCACAAGGGTCAAGAGTCTGAGGCCCAGGGAGTCAGCACAGCCTGTTTACACCATGGGGAAGGAAAAGTATAGCAGGGGAAAGAGGCCCTGGTCACTGGAAACTGGGCCTTTCCCCCACCCTGGGCTCACAGCCCTGACCCCCAGAGTCACCTCACTCAAGGCCACCCTTCAGTGAGCACTGTGGACTCCATGCAGGTATGACCCTCCACAGTGTGGAGTGTGGGAGACCCTTTGGAGCTCCTGAAGCCTTCAACGGACTTAACCACCTTCACAAGTATTGCCTTACACATGGGTGCAACCATCTAGAACACAGAAGGATTGTGAGACTTTGTGAACAATTAATATGGGGAGAGGGCTTCCCAGATGGTGCTAGTGGTAAAGAACTCACCTGCCAATGCAGGAAACATAAGAGACGCAGGTTCAGTCCCTAGGTCGGGAAGATCCCTTGGAGGAGGGCATGGCAACCCACTCCAGTGTTCTTGCCTGGAGACTTCCGTGGACAGAGGAGCCTGGCGGGCTGCAGTCCACGGGATCTCAAAGAGTCAGACACGACTGAAGCAACTTAGCACGAATATAGGAACAAACAGCCTGAGCTGCAACAAAGATGACCAGGAAGACAGACAATGCCCCCCAGGAGTTTTAAAATGACAGAGCAGGGACTGCCCTGGTGGTCCAATGGTTACGGATCCATCTTCCAATGCAGGGGATACAGGCTCGATCCCTGGTTGGGGAACTAAGATCCCACATGCCACGGGCAAAAGCCCCAGCCCTGCAACCATTAAGCCCACGTGCTGCAACCAGAGAGTAGCCCACACGCCACAACAAAGAACCCACATGCCAGAACTAAGACTCGAGGCAGCCAAGTAAATAAATAAATCTTTTTAAAAAGGAAAATAAAACAAAATGATAGATCGGTGTCCCCCAGGACATGTCTGCAGAAATTTAGATGTCTGTGAAATAAAACAGACTTGCAGGACAGTCAGGTCCCAGAAAGCACTGTGGTTTCTCTTGCTTCGAGAACTCTGCACATGCTGTTCTCTCTGCCTGGAACACCATCCCCACCATTTTACACAAAGAACACCTACTCATACTACAGAACTGAGTTTCACATTACTTCCTTCAGGAAGTCTTGCCTGACCGACCTCTCCTCTACCCCAAGCACCCCAGGGGCCTCATCTCTCCTCCCAAAGCTCCCTGTAATGCCACATAGTCACATTTTACAGTGAATTATAATAATCTACTGTAATAACTTGTTGAATTTACTCCCAGAATATGCTTCCTGAGAGCAGGCTTGGTTCTCTGCTGAAGTCTCAGTGCTAAGCCCAGGGTCTGACACACAGTAGGTGCTCAATAAATCTTTATTGCAAAGATGAATAAATGTTAAACAAGAGTGATAACACTCTCAGTACTGGATGACTCTGACGCCCTAATCAGACCCCCCTTATCAGGTCAGAGCACTCATCCCCCAGAGGCTGTAGTTACGGGCTGTAAATTGGCCCAGAGATGCCCCCTTGTCTGAAGAATTGCCCTCCACTGAACTGGATCACGGGTTCACGTGCATCCTCATCCCAGGATCAGCCTGCAGCTGATGACTCACAGATCCAGGTGTACAAAAGGTCAGCTCCTGAACCTTAAGACAGAACCATCTCTGTGATGTAATTCATGCTCCAGAGCTGCCCTGGCCCTGGAAAATCAGGTCCCATCCTGGCTTAGCTTCTCCCCTGCCTTGCCCTGCCTCCCTTACTCTCCTTCCCCTGAGAGCGACCTTCAGGAAAATAAATCACTACCCCAAGGATCCCTGTCTTAAGCTCTGCTTGTAGGGAACCTGACCTAAGACATCCGCCTTGATGGCCTCACTGGAAGTGAGACAGATGGATGGATGGAGGGAGGGAGGGAGGAATGGATAGATGGATGAATGAATACCTAGAAATTGCTTTAACCTCCTTCATTGGAAAGATGAAGAATCTGAGTTCCAGGGAGGCCTGGTCCAGAACACAGGCATCTAGGACCTTCCCTGCCTCCCCCACACCCACCAACATCTGAAGATTCTCAGCCATCCCTATCCCCGCCCCCACAGCTCCCTCCCCTTCACCTCCACTCGCCCCTACAGTCCCTGAGGACCTGGCAGACATGCTATCCTGGAATGGAAGATCTCCACGCTCAGGGCCCCAATCCTGGGCTCAAGTCCTGGGGGGTCCTTTTCCAGAGTGGGGCTTTTTTCTGGAGGGCCTGCAGAAGCTTCTGGGAAGTCAGCTTTTTCCTCGGTCACTGGGTCTGAGTCAGCGTCTAGGCCAGATGTTTTGGTCTGAGTTGTTCCAGCTGCGGGTAAACAACAAAGAATATTGCAGAAGATGGATTTTCCCAGGGAAAATATTTTCTCACATTCTGCCTAACGATAAGCGCTTACAGTATTGATCTCCTTTTATGTGGCAGGCATTGTGCTAAGCTCCTTACTACTGGTGTTGTCTTTGAACCTCAAAACAACTCGAGGAGGCAGATGAGATCCTCATTGCACAGAGGGGGAGACCTGGCCTTACAGAGGTTAAGTCATTGATCAAAGTCACCCAGACAGTATATGGCCAAGCTGGGGTACAGACTCAGGCTGTCTCAGCACAACCACAGAATCTTGCTCAATTACAAGCTCAAAAGACCTTAAGCTTCTTGACATGCCACCCCGTGCTCTAAACCCCTGAGATGGACCCAGCCCAAGTGGATCTCAGCCCTGACATCCTATACCACCTTGTCACCTGATCACCTCCAGAGAACAGTTGCCCTGTCCAGCTGAGTATGTGGGCATCTTACCTTTCCCTAAGCACTTGGCTCGGTTGGGTTTGGGTGAGTAGAGTGAACACAAGACTTTCCAGGGTCCGTCATGCTGGAGCGAGGCTTTCTCTGAGGCCCGAGGCACTTGCCTCTGCCCCTTTAAGAATGAGAATTTGAGCCCAGGAGTGGGCGACCCGGAAGAGGAAATGTTTCGACCGCGGTTGGTCACAGGCTTGGCAAGTCTCCCATTGCCCTGTTTGGTCATCTCTTCCATCTTGGTTTCGGAGGCTGGAGCAGCAAGAGGAGAAACTGGGCACAGCCGGGGAGAGGATGCTTGTTTTGGTCCTGGCTTGAGCTGGTCCATGTTCTCTGAGTTTCCCAGAATGCCCTGTGTTGTGGAGGCCGGTGGCTCTTCTGAGGCACCTGTCCCAAGGCCAGACGCACAATGCAGTGGGTTTACAAAGATGCTGAGGTATGGCTCTCGGGACTGGTGTTCTGAGTCTTGGGTAGGGACTTTATCATTAGCCTTTCTCCTTGAGCCCCAAACACAGGGTTTCTCCCCCAAGCTTTCAGGCTTCTCACAAGCCCATTTTTCCAAGGAAGGCTCTCCATTGGCCCCTGACAGAGGCAGCATCCTTTGACAGAAAGGGATTTCCCTGGTTCCAGATAGCTCCTTTGGTACCCCCAAAGGACACCCATTGGGCGTCACCACCTCCTTACTTGGAGACCCTTCTCTGCTCTCTTGGGGAAAGTCCAGAAGAGCCACATACTCTCCCTCCAGGTCCTGGCTGGCCACACTGTCCACCCTGAAGCCCACCTCCCCAGGTCCAGCTTGCTCCACCTTGATGAGGCCTGGGTACTTGTTCCTGTGTGTCCTGCCCTTGCCCAAACTCCGGACAAGCAGCACCTGGCTGTCTGGGCACCTGGCCTGGTGCAGGTCTTGAGAGCTGCTCAAATCCAGTGCCTCTAACTGAAGGGACTCCCAGGCTGGGGAGAGGAGATTCACTGCTGGGGCTGTGTCATCCACAAACTCTGGGCTGGTTATCTTGGTCCAGGGCACAGGGGCCATGCCATCTTCTGAAGCTATCAGACAGTTGTGCAGGGGACTGCCCTCAGAGTCACCGTTGATGGCCTCCAGCCAGGCTGGGCTGAAAAGTATAGGATAGGATGACTCAGGGACTGGCTTCGTGTCCACTGTGCGGAGGTCCACAGAGAGGCACTTGATCGTGAGGCAGACGGACTGCTCCTCCCGGGGCTCGACTTGGAGGTAGAAGTCACCTTGGCGCAGTAAGAGGGGATTGAGGGGTGCCAGGTGGACCACAACCTCATCCCGCAGGCACAGTGGCCAGCCCTCATGCAGGAAGAGGCGGTGTGAGTAGGGGGCCTGCAGAGAGGAGGGGGACAGCATCAGAGAATCAGGCTCTGAAAGCCCCACCCATGGGTTTCTTCCTTCCCTCTCCCAGAAGGAACGTTGAACAGGTCTAGGACTCAGGTGAGGCAAGAAAGGTGCCTAGGACACAGCATCCAAGGAAGCCCCACTCTTGGCATCCTGCAAGTCACGCAGCCCCGAGAGGGAGCACCTCCTTAAACGTTAGGACCTCCATGCCTCTTGCTCCCCCTAGTCCTGGCCCTGACCTTGGAAATATCAATACCTCCTCACCTACTGGGCCAAGGGAGAAAAAAGTTGTGAGTGCCAGGCCCCAGTTAGCAAGAGCCTTTTCCATGAGGATTGTCCTGCTGGCTGCCTTCTCCTCTCCAACCATCAAAACTCCTCTCAACCCAGTTCAAGTTGAATGCTCCACTTTAGGGCCAGGGAGACATGGGTTCCAAGGTCTGAATTGCTAACTTGTGCAAATGACATAATTTCTTTGAGCCTCAGCTTCCCTATTTGCAAATAGGAATAATGATGCATATTGGTATAATTAGGACTTTCCCAGGTGGTAAAGAATCCACCTGCCAATGCAGAAGATGCAGGTTCAATTCCTGGGTCAGGAAGATCACCTGGAGGAGGAAATGGCAACCCACTCAGGCACTCTTGCCTGGAAAAATCCCATGGATGGAGGAGCTTGGCTGGCTGCAATCCAGGGAGTCACAAAGAATCAGACACAACTGAGTGACTGAGCTCAGATACTAATACACACATTGGTATTATTGGGTTGGTACGAGGATTAAGTGAGATCATAAATACATGTATGTTTTTTAAAAAACAATGCAATGCATAAAATATAATAAGTAGATGTTCGTGCATGCTCAGTCACTTAGCTGGCCCTGTGCGGGCGCAGTGTTCAACAGTGACCCCAAATGGCATCAACAGAAACAACAGCTCCACCAAACTGAAAACAGGTCTTTCTCTTCCTGACTTTTGGAAAAGAGTCTGATTCCTGCGGATCAAATGAGCCCCAGTAATCTCATGTAATTTGGATGAGTGTATGGGAGAGCTGGAGAGAGTGACACTGAATGTCCTGCAAATCAAGTAGGTGTTTCCTGGAATTATGAATTGGGGGAATGATGAGATCTGACCACACCTGTACCTGCCTTGTTGATAAGCCAGTTCATTTCAGTTATACTGCAGATTTGGCTGTCTCCAAGAAACTTTCTATCCACAAGCCACAAGTCTGTGTATTATTTCACCCTCTTCATATAGACCTCTGCTGTTTACAGCACCTTTCCCCCTTCCCTCCACTTCTCAGTGAATGAGATGAAACAGCCGAGTGGTGTTTTGCAAATAGCAAATCACCATAGAAATGACTGTTATGATCATCTTATTTGATTCACAGTAATTCAGGAGTGCAGGGAGTTTGGGAACTGTCATTCCCACTTTACAGATGAGAAAACCAAGGCTCAGAGAGATAGTTAAAAAAAAAAAAGCCTCATCATCACACAGCTGAAAAGCAGCCAAAGCAGGACTTGTGCTCATATTTAGAATCAGCCATATGTTTGTCTCCAGTCTCCCTAGACTTCATTGATTGTGGCTGTCTGTCTGGGTGCTGGTGGTTATAAAGGCAGACTTTGAGGCCGGAGCATTCTTATTTCATAGGGAGAAAGGAAAGAGTGGTCAAGTAACAGCCAGCAGCTACTGAGCAATTTCTTCATGCCAGGTTCTGTGGTAAGCTGTGTGTATCATCTCAGCAAGGTACATACATCCTGTGTTATTAACATTCCTGCTTTCCTCATAAGGAAACTGAAGTTCAGAGAGGGGACCTGGATCCCCCAACTTCACAGCGATGGAGACTGGATTTGAGCCTGGGGCACCTGACCCCTGGGGACAAATTCCATGCCACCACTCCCTGCTCTGAGGTGACACAAATTCACCTATAATTACAATTAAAGTTGTTTATAATTTAAAACATAAAAAATCTAAATGTTGTGATCCTTGCCCCCAGAAGAAATGGGAAAAGGAACAGTGCAAATGCAGTTTTAATGGTCAAATAAAAGAAGCAGGTAGATGTATAGCTTGTTAGGGAGAAGAAATAAAGATGGGGAGCCATTGTGTGCATGGTCAGTGGCTCAGTCGTGTCCGACTTTTTGCAACCCATGGATGGTAGCCCACCAAGCTTCTCTGCCCATGGGATTTTTCAGGCAAGAATACTGGAGTGGGTTGCCTTTTCCTCCTCCAAGAGAGCTTCCTGACCCAGGGATCGAACCTGCATCTCCTACATTGGCAGGCAGATTCTTTACTACTGAGCCACGAGGGAAGGATGGGGAGGATACAGCTTAAATAATCTCAACATAGATATGTGGAAATTGGCTGCAATGTTTCAGCAAGATTCTTTCTTCTCGTCCAAGAACAGTGAATGTGTGTGGAGCTATTTCTATGTGCTAGGCACTGTGCTAAACACCTAGAATGAAATGACCTATTCCCTTCCAGTTCCAACCATCTCTTATTCTAGCCTCCTAAGTCTGAAATTTTAGCTGCTGTGTTCAATTTTTTCTATCACTGAAATGATGCACATAATTCCTCCATTTATTTCTGCTCCTGATGTGCCAGGTCCCTGACAGATATGAGCAACTCAGGAAAGGCTAGTAGGACCTAAGATGCTCCTAGCAATTCTTGAGGCTGGAGCAGTTAGGGGTGGGCATTGAATAACAGAAGGGCAGGGCAGAATCAGCAACTCTGCAAAGGATGTGGGTAAGTTCCATGAGTAGGCATCTGAAGCTTTGATCTCCAAAGGCCTCTCCCCACCCTTTTCTTAAAACAATCTCCACCCTCTGAGCACAGAGGTAGGCATAGGATTCAAGTCTGCAAAGTCCTCAAATCCAGTCCTCTGGCTGCAATAATCGGTCCAAGAATAGACACAGGATCCAAGCCTGGCCAGTCCTGGTACCGCATTCCCCTTGCCTCAATTATTGGTCCAAGCACGGATGCAAGACTCAAGCCCAGCCAATCAGGATCCTCCCTTGAGATTTTCTATCTGCAACTGATGGGGAAGAGTTCATTTTCCTCTTCAGGGTAGGATTTGATCCTGGTGCTGCCCTAGGCTCCACCGTCGAGGAAACACCTAGCTTGTAAGAATGATCCTGACAAGCAGTAGCAGAGACAAGAGACAAGGTTCCAAAGGGGTCTGATCAGTGGATGACCTCAGACCCATGTCGGGATCACCTTGTCCTGATCTAAGTAAGGATCTGTCATTTGCAGCCAGCGAGTTCTGCCTAAAACACTTCTCTTTCCACTTTGCCTCAGGAGAGGGCTCCCTGAGATCTGGGTTTGAAGGAGTCTCATTGGCTTCCCAGGTGGCTCAGTGGTAAAGAATCCGCCTGCCAATGCAGGAAGCGTGAGTTCGATTCCTAGTCAGGAAGATCCCTGGAGGAGGAAATGACAACCCACTCCAGTATTCTTGACTGGACAATCCCATGGATAGAGGAGCCTGGCAGGCTACAGTCCATGGGGTCACAAAGCGTCAGACAAGTACTAGTATCTCTAACGCACCCTCAAACACGGCAGACATCATTAACCATTCAGAGAATTCCTTCTTACTGAGCCAACCAGGTGCTCTAGGCAGTCCCTACTAATAGATCAAAGTTGGTATTTGTTCATTCAACATCCAGGGAAGAAAGTGAGAGTTCTGATACCACAAGGGCTTCAGGGAAAGTCTGGGACATTCTCTACTATTTCCACTGAAGCTTCCCCACTTCAGTCAAGACAGTTAGACAATGCCCACAGTATCAATTCCTGGGGGCCAGAGAATCCACACAGATGCTTTACCCAGGCCTCCCTCCTTGTTATTCAAAGTGCAAATGTGATTGACTCCTACATGTCAGAGGGTAAAGGCCCAAGTGACCTTCCTGTCCATCTATGGGGCTGAAGTTTTTTGGGGGGCAAGCAATTAATACCTGAAAATCATCCCATGTCCTCAGTTCATGCTCTTCAACAAGATACATACCAGCCCACTTCCTTCTCTGCTCACCTGCAGCCCGTCTGGGAGAGCTTGTACCCTGACCCCATGTCCCTTTCAACTTACACATGCTGCTTCACGCACTTGTTCACACAGGCGCTTGGCAGGGATCAGGAAATCCAGGAGGAAGTTCAGTCCATCGCCCTGGAAGTCAGAATCCAGGAGACGGAACACCTGACCCAGGATGGTAGATGCTGTTGCTTCAAAAGGGGGATAGAGGCCTGCCAGGGCGTGCTGGATGGCTGCGTCCAGGGATGGGGGGTCCTGTGGGGGACAGGAGAAAAAGATGAAAACTGATAGCAGCAATAATAATAAGAGTAGTGGCCACTTCCCAGGATCTTCCTGGCCCCGTATGACTAAGGTCCTTGCTAACTCTGACTTCCTTGGCTACTCCTTCCCACTTGCACACCCCCTCCAGCCACACTGCTTTCTTTCCTGTTCTTCAAACTCTAGGCACAATCTCACCTCAGGGCCTTTGCACTGGCTGTTGCCTCTGCCTAGAATGCTCCTCCTTAAGACATCCTCATTCCCTCACCTCCTGCAGCTCTTTGCTTGGTTGTCATCTGCTGGTCCAAGGTAGGGTAGAAGAACAAGGGAAGGCATTCAGGTCAGGCCAGAAGGAAAGGGGTGGTCAGCAATCCCAAATCTGGCCACTTAGCTGACCTGCAGGCCTGCAGATTGAAGCTGAGCGACTGCATAGCCCAGCCTGGATCAGGCAAGCCCTAACCATATGCAGACACATGAGTGATAATAAGTGGTTGCTGTTTTATACTACTTGTTTGGAGTGGTTTGTTACACAGCTATAACTAACTGATATAAGTTGGTATAATTGATACAAGCGCCCACGTTCATATATCAAGGATGCCTTCCCTAGGTGTTTATTGGGAACAGACCATCAGTGCTCGCTTCAGCAGTACATATACTAAAAATGGGAACAGACCATCAACACATACCCTCCTAAGCCTACTCCTTCCCCACATCCCTACCTTAGTGATTGGCCCCCTCATCCAGTCAGACTCTGAAACCAGAAATCTGCTCATCATCTTGCCCCTTCCTCCTGCCTCTCCTGCCCACAAGCAACTGTCAGCTGCATCCTATAGTCTTCTCATCTCCAACAGCTCACCAACCCACTCCCTCTGCTCTCTTCCCCTGCCTTGCCTTGGTCCAGGTCCCCATCACGTCTTCTACTGAATCACCTCATCACTGGTTTTCCATCTCTTGTTTCCCTCTCAGCCATTTCTCCAACAGGACCCCAAGGTGATCTTTCTCAAATGCAAACCTTGGGGATTTCCCTGGTGGTCCAGTGGCTAAGACTCTGCACTCCCAATGCAGGGGGCCTGGGTTAGATCCTTGATCACAGAACTAGATCCTACATGCTGCAACTAACAATCTTGCTTCCCAGGTAGCTCAAACAGTAAAGAATCTGCCTGTAATGTGGGAGACCTGGGTTGGATCCCTGGGTCGGGAAGATCCCCTGGAGAAGGGCATGGCAACCCACTCCAGTATTCTTGCCTGGAGGATTCCATGGACAGAGGGCCTGGGGGGCTACAGTCCAAGGTGTCATAAAGAGCTGGACACGTCTGAGCAACCAGCACCACCAGCAACAATCTCTCATGCCACAACGATGATCGAAGATCCTATGTGCCATGATTAAGTCCCAGCACAGCCAAATAAATAATTTTTTTTTTAATGCAAATCTGGCTTTGCAAGTGTCCTGCTCAAAACCTGCTCACAGGTTTCTCACTGCCTTCAGAAAACAGCCAGCCTGGCCTCCAGCCTCACTATTCTCCCCAGGCTTCTGCCACAAGGACACACACACTCTCCCTCACTTCCAGGCTTCGCACATGCTGTTCCTTCCTCCAGGGATGCCGCCCACCTCCATGCCCACTAAACTAACCCCTTCTCATCTGCAACATCCCAGCCAGTCCATCATCTCTTCCAGACTTTCTCTGACCTCCTGCTCCCATCCCAGCTGGGTCAAGTGTCCCTTTTTCTTGGCTTCCATGGTGAATGCCACGCTGATTTTGTCTCCCTTGGTGGACCCCAGGCTCCCTGAGGACAGGAGTGGTATTCAGAATAATGCTCCCCCCAAATGCCCACATTCTAATCTGTGGAACCTGTCACTAAATCCCCTTACATGGCAAAGAGGAACTAAAATTGCAGATGGAATAAAAGTTGTTAATCAGCTGGACTTAAAATAGGGAGATTATTCTGGATTATTCAAGTGGACCCAATCCAGTAACAAGGGTCCTCAAAAGTAGAAGAGAATGCAGAAGAGGCAAAAGTCAGGAGGAAATGTGACTGGAAGAAGCATCCAAGAGAGGACATACTGCTGGCTTTGAAAATGGAGGCAGAGCCAAGGAATGTGGGCGGCTCCTAGAAGCTGGGAAAGGCAAACAGATTCTCGCTGAGAGTCTCCAGAAAAGAATGCAGCCCATCAACACCTTGATGTGAGCCCAGTGAGTTGGACCTGCTGATCTATAAAGCTGCAAGATAACAAATTCATGTTGCTGTAAGCTACTAGACTTGTGGTCATTTATTCCAGCAGCACCAGAAACTAACACAGCCAGCACTGGCTCCTATTCATCTAGGGCCTTCAATCCTTGCATAAAATAGGTGCTCAGTAAATGCGGAGGGATGAGTAAAGTGTCCCTCTCTGAATCACAGCTTTTCCACCCATAAAATGGGCAAGTGGGACAAGGCCAGAGGTTCCCAACCAGGTATAGTAATAGGGTCCGTGGGTTGTGATTTTCAGCTCTTAAAAAGACTGATGAAAGCCCTTCTGGTTGCCCCAGATTGGGTGCCCGCTATTGCTGAGGGATGTAAAGGAAGATGAGAATAAATAAGACAGCAACATAAAGAGGGCCTATCTAGGGCAGAAAAATCATTTTTCTAAATGAGGTCCCTGGAGATAGGGAAATAAAATAGAGACTTTGAGGAGAGGGAAGAATGCATTTCTCCATCCCAGAAAGAGTCCAATGCCAGGAGGCTATAAAGCAAGGGATGCTAGCCCAGAGCATTTAGACAAGTGTCAGGGTCACTGCTGGGTCCCCAGTACCCACAGAGCTGAGCACAAGGGAGGCCCTCTACTGCTCTCTGTAGAATGAATGAATGAATGAATGAATGAATGAATGTCTACAGCCCCCATTCTGAAGGAAAGAGGGTCCTGACATGACGGTAAGCTCAGAAGGACACACGCTCACACACAGCAGTGCGCAAGCCCCCGAGGGGCTATTTTCACACTAACATGGGGATGGGGTTTGATTTCAAAGAACTAGGAAAAGCTCATCTGGCCTGGTAACCTCTCTCAATGCCTCCCCTGGCCAACACCCAGTAATCCCAATACTACTTCTCTTCCCTGGCCATCTAATACTGAGGCAGCAGTGGGGATAGGAAGTTGGGGGACCCTGTCTGATATCCATGAACTCACAGATAGTCGAAGTTAGGCCACCACCCATCCCTCCCCTCTCCTGGGTCCTACTCCACTGTGCTGCCTGGAGTAGGCGCTTCCCTTGCTGGGCCTCATTCCTCATGGGCACATGGAGTTGGGCTAGTCATGTTTTGTTTTGTTTTTGGAAATTTAATCATTTATTGTCACCTTCATGAATGTTAGCATATCTGAATATGTTTTCTTTTTAATACCTTTTGTACTGTCATCATTTACTACTTTTCTTCAAATCCACTCTTTTTTTTTTAAATCTCTTGATCACGCTTCAGGATTCTAGTTCCCAGACAAGAGAAGGAATGCACACTCCCTGCCGTGGAAGCGTAAAGGCTTAACCACTGCACTGCCAGAGAAGTCCCTCCGCTTATTACTTCTTAAAAACATACATACATAATTGCATCTTTTTAAAAAATTCATTTATTTATTATTTTCAGCTGTGCTGGACCTCCGTTGGCTTGTGGCTTCAGTGCTTGCGGTGCGCAGGATCAGTAGTGGTGGAGCACAGGCTTAGTGGCTCCGTGGCATGTGGGATCTTCCTGGATCAGGGATTGAACCTGGCCCCATAACTGCATCTTAAATGGAGACTATGTCACCATACTGGTTATGAGACTGCGGCCAGATTGCTTGAATTCAAATTCTAGCTCTGTCATTTATTGGTCATTTGACCTAGCAAGTGACTTAATTCTCTGCTTCAGTTTCCTCATCTTTAAAGCTGGAGACTGTCATCCTACCTGCCTTAAAGAGTTGAGACAGGTTGAGTGAGAGAGTATATGTAGATTCTCTGCCGAAGTCGAGCACTTAGTAGGTGCTTTAAACAACAGCCATCACTGCTTTTTCTGTAGTCAGGTTACAATTATTATTATATCACTACTTTAAATGGAAAAACCAATATAAATTGGCCTAACTAGAGTGTAACTCCAAAAATAGACCAAAGATGCATTGGGTAGTTTTTATATTATTTTATTTATTTAAATATATATATACTTATTTTAATGTATTTAAATATGTATTCTTTATACTTATTTATAAGTATATTTACATGTATTATTATAATAGCTATATATACATATATATATATATCTCATGTAACTGCATGCTCAGTTGCTTTGGTCATGTCCAGCTGTTTGTGACCTATGGACTGTAGCCCACCAGGCTCCTCTGTCCATGTGATTGTCCAGGCAAGACTACTGGAGTGGGTTGCCATGCCCTCTTCCAGGGAATCTTCTCAAACCAGAGATTGAGACCTCAAGCCCATGTCTCCTGCATTGCAGGTAGATTCTTTACCACTGAGCCTTTGGAAAAACCCCTCTGTAAGTGTATATTTATGCAAATAATTTAATATACAACTATAAAATAATTACACATTTATTGTATAAAATCTATTTTTACTATTCAATTTCCATAAAAATAAACTATTTTTAAAAGAAAGAGTAATGGATTTGCAAAGCAACTATACTTCAGTAAAATTTAATTAAAAAAAAAAAAGGTAATGGATAAACAGCAAGGTCCTGCTATAAGCACAGAGACCTTCATTCAACAGCCTATGGTAGGACTTCCCTGGTGGCCCAGTGGTTAAGAATCCACCTGCCGACGCAGAAGACATGGGTTCAGTCTCTGGTCCAGGAAGATCCTACCTGCCGTGAGGCAATTAAGCCCCTGCGCTTCAACTACTGAGCCCACGTGCGGCAACTACTGAAGCCCATGTGCCCCAGGACCCATGCTCCCCAACAAGAGGGGCCACTACAGTGAGAAAACACGGCCAAACAGTAGCCCCTCTTCTGCTTACACAACTAGAGAAAGGCTGTGCATAGCCACAAAG